TGAGGCAAGGCCTTATAAGCCAAATGAAAAGAAATTGGACTCACGAACAGTAAGTAGTTATTTTATTGGTTATGCTGAAAGATCCAGGGGATATAAATTTTATGATCCCACATTAAAGACAATTTTTGAGACGGGAACTGCTACGTTCTTTGAGGATATTGAGTTTGGGGGGAAGAATAAAATTAGGAACTTTGTCTTGGAGGAAGAATCGGTAATAATTTCAGAACCGATTCAAACAGTTACTTTTGATAAAGTAAGTTCGGAACCTCCACAAGACATTGTTAATGAACCCCTTACTCAAGATGATTTGGTTGTTCATGAAAAACAAACTCAAGATCCTCAAGAACCTGTGCATCATGAGCCAATAACTTTGCGGACCCACTAGAGAAAGAAGAAGTGCTATTTCGGATGATTACATGGTATTTCTTCAGGAACATGAGGAAAACAATGGTATGATGGAAGATGACCCAGTTAACTTCCGTCAAGCCATGCAAGGTTCTAACTCTGAAAAGTGGATTGAAGCAATGAAGGAGGAGTATAAGTTCATGCAAGATAACAAGGTTTGGGAACTTGTCCCATTACCAGAAGGTATGAGATCCATTGGTTGCAAGTGGATATTTAAGACCAAATGGGATTCTAAAGGTAATGTGGAAAGGTATAAGGCTCGTCTGGTAGCTAAGGGCTATACCCAAAAGGAAGGGATTGATTTTAAAGAGACTTTCTCTCCAGTTTCATCGAAAGACTCTTTTAGGACAATCATGGCTCTTATAGCACATTATGATTTGGAGCTTCATCAAATGGATGTCAAGACGGCGTTTCTTAATGGCAACATTGATGAGACGATTTATATGGTGCAACCAGAAAGTTTTGTGCAGGGAGATTCAAAGAGTATGGTTTGCAAACTGATAAAATCCATTTATGGACTAAAACAAACATCTCGTCAATGGTACTATAAATTTCATCAAGTAATTCTCTCATTTGGCTTCGAGATGAATATTATTGATGATTGTGTATATCACAAGTTTAAGGGGAGTAAATATATTTTCCTGATTTTGTATGTTGATGACATTATACTTGCCACTAATGATATATGCATATTACACGAAACCAAGAAATTTTTATCAAAGAATTTCGAAATGAAAGATCTTGGTGATGCGTCTTTTCTATTAGGAATTCAGATACACCGAAATCGATGTCAGGGTATTTTAGGATTATCACAAAGGAGCTATATCGAAATTTTTTTTAAAAGGTTTGACATGCATGAATGTAAATCCGGGGATACTCCATTTGCTAAGGGAGACAAGTTTAGTCCCAATCAGTGCCCAAAGGGAAATTTAGAAATTGAGGAAATGCAAAAGATTTCCTATGCATCAGTTGTAGGGAGTTTGATGTATGCCCAAGTATGTACGCGTCCAGACATAGCATACATAGTTGGGGTTCTAGGCAGATATTTAAGCAATCCAGGAATGGACCATTGGAAAGTAGCAAAAAGGGTCATGAGATATTTAAAGAGAACAATAGATTACATGCTCACATACAGGAGGTCAGACCAGTTGGAGATCGCTGGGTTTTCTGACTCGAACTTTGCAGGATGTCAAGATAGTTTGAAATTCACTTCAGGTTACATTTTCATGTTAGCAGGTGGTGCAGTTTCTTGGCGCAATGTCAAGCAAACCCTTACAGCTTCATCCACTATGGCAGCAGAATATGTAGCATGCTATGAGGTGTTGAATCATGGAATATGGCTGAGAAATTTTGTCACAGGGCTGCAAATTGTGAAAGACATTGAAAGACTACTTAAGTTATATTGTGACAACAAATCAGTTGTATTGTATTCCAACAACAACAGAAGTTCAACTAAGTCAAAACACATCGACATTAAGTTCCTAGTTATTAAGGAAAGAGTACAGAGTGGACAGATTTCCATAGAACATTTAGGGACAAACTCCATGATAGCAAATCCTCTAACTAAAGGACTTTCAGCCAAGGTCTTTCATGAGCATGTTGCTCACATGGGTGTTTTACAGTTTGAGGAATTTGTGGTTTAGTGGGAGTTAGTCATTTTCATATATTTTATGTTCTATGTTTAATTTTATATATGTATACATTGATTTTTTGGACATATTTGGTTATCTATAGATATGCGGTTTTTGTTCATTCATTACACTTTGTACATTAAGGATATTATATCGATCTCGATAAGTTAAAGTTTGGACCAGTTGAAAATAGACGTGTACAGGTCACCTTCACGTAATTTTCATGCTACACATTTCATGATGAATCCATGTCATTTGATTATGTTAGGATGAGTAATCATTGTTGGTTTTAATTGCGATGATGCAATGAAAAGCTGGTTTGGTTCTATATCCTGATATGATTAATGGACAGGACTTTTGGAGTATGCTAAAGGAATATAATGACAATTTTGAGCTCATAAAGTCTAACACATTTGTAAGGTTGTAAGGACATATATATTTGTGACCAGTGGGAGATTGTTGGCAAAATTTGGGTCATGTATATATATGATACATATTTAAATGTGTTAGGGTCATTATTTATTAAGCCAAATAATAAAGTGATCTGACTAAGTTAAAAAAGGTTTGGCTAAAGGCATATGTCATGAAAATAAAATTGCGTAAAGACCATAGAGCAATTTCTAATTTGATGAGGGGCCAAATTGGAAATACTAAAACTTAAGTAATTAACCTAATTTTGGTTATTTTAAGGGGTCATGGTTCCCTTCTGGGAGCACGTAGACATAACGTAGTTACAGTCCCGTTCTTTTCTTTCTATCCCCATCAAGAGAGAAAATCAAGAGGGAAATACAAGCGCTCTTCAGGTGGAAGACCATAAGATCAATAGTGCTCTAAAAGGGACATCATCATTATGACTAATTCAGATACGCTTTCGCATTTAGTTTACAACATGTTTACAGTATGAGATTATTTTATATTTGATCGTTAGATTGAATATCATATTTAATTATCAGTTTATCTAACAATATTTTCATAATATAATAAACATTGATAATAAAGTTTAAAAAAAAGTGTAATAGTGATATTACAAGATGAAAGAGAGAGTAAATCAATACGATGAAAATAAAACAAGAGACCCAATGATCATGTGAACGACGATGAATAAACATGATTTTTTTTTAATGTTAAAATATATTAAACATAATTTATAACAATTTAAAAATCGTTATCATGTATAATTTAGAATAACATATTTTACTTATTAATAAAAACAGTTTAAAACTAATCGATATTGTATATAAATATGATAATAGTAATTTTTTATAACATTTTAAAAATTTCAATTTAATTAAAAAATGTAATCATCGTTAATTTATTTTGTAATTAATAACAATTAAGATTTATAATATATATTAATAAATATTATCAAGTAAAATAAATTATTATTATTATTATTATTATTTTAAAGATATTTTATAGTAATAATTATCAAATATTATAATCACAACCTAAATTATATATATATATATATATATATATATATATATATATATATATATATATATATATATATATTTTGAAGTCTCTATGAATGTATGTATATTGTAACCATAAGTAAACATTATATCAATAAATGTTGTTTGGAGTAATTTTATTAGACTCGATAAAAATAAATGTATTATAATTTAATTAAATCTTATTATAATGCATGTCTTACAATTTTAGTAGGATGTTGAGTTAGTTATAAATTGAGATATGATGATAAATTTGTATTTACAATCTGAAAATATTTACTATAACAATTAATTTATATCCAAAATTTATTATACAACATATTGTTCAAGAGAAAACTAAAAAGAATAAAAAAATAATTATTTCGAATAATTATATTAATATTTTTTATATTATAATTTTTTTTAAAGGAATAATTGTTTTATAAATAAATGTTTGATATTCGTGTTTCTATTAATAAATAATAATGTTTAGATAATTATTGTAATAAAAAATGCTCAATAGACCATTAGTGCAGAAAGAAATATAATAAATCTTTATTATCAGTTATTACAGAAAAAATATTTTTATATTTTGGTTAGAACCATTTTTGTTAAAAAGTTCATAAAAAAAAACAGTTTTTTTTTAATAATTTTACTTTTAAAACATTTACTAAACCTGAAATGTTTTTTCTTGATGAGTGACAAGAATCAATTTATCTTATAGTCTTGTCTCGTGTCTTTTTTTTACAGTAATTTTTTTAATTTTGTAAGTTACAAACCCTTTAAAATAACTATTACTCTCAATTTCTGTTTTTGGCGTTTCCGATCCTAATTTATCCCCAATCTTCTTCCTCTGTATTTCAAACCCTAATTTGGTTTTTCTCCATATAAACTTTGAACATTTCGTTTCCTAGATTGAATATACAAGAGAACACCTTACTCAATCACTTTCTCGAGGTTTGTCTTTCTGTTCCCCTTTAATTTTCTTACTCTGTATCTCACATAAACTATTGTTTAGTTGTATTCTTTTAAAATTAGTATTGGATTTCAGATTTCTGCTTGGACAGAAGGGATTTCGAATGTCTTAATCCATTTTTTTTTCTTCGCACTGATAATTTGTACTTTCAGAATATTTTGAATAGGGAGAAAGGATCGCAGCATTTTATTTTCTTTTATATGTATTACATGAGCTGCAAAAAATCAGGTCATGGAGAAACAACTGGTGAACATACATTTGTTGTTTGCTTCAATCCAAGTCATTTAACTTTTGTTAATGCATTAATTTACCATCCGTTTAATCGATATAGAAGTTCAATTGAGAGTCATTAATAAGCTATGCTTTTGATTGGGAAAACCAATAATATTTTTATTATAATTGAGTTTTTTGGATGATGTAGAATTGATTTTTTTAGTAATTACATTGTTGATGGATCAAATTCACTTTAAATCATTCTTTTAATTTTTATTCTCCATGAATTGTAGTTTTTACTTTTTTTAACAAAAATTATTCTGCAGTGATTATTGGTGAGAAATGCAAGATCCAAGGATTTCTTTGTCAGAAGAGATCATGAATAATAAACCAAGGAAGAAGAAAAACTTAACCCAGAAGACTTCTCTGATCCAGTTGAAAGCGAATGGTGTTAAAGAAGATGGACAGACATCTCTATCTTTAAAATCAGGACAGAAGGGTTCCAAGAGACCATTGATGACTGAAGTTTCGCCACCTTTTCAGAAACAAGAAGGTTCTAATTCTGATTCACTGCCTGACTCCTCTGCAGCTGGGAATGGCTATCGCACATTGAGGCGGAAGTATTTACTGCTTGAAGATGAGAGCTTTGCATTAGGGGAAGAGTTAAGAGGGGTTGAAGATGAAGTAAAATCCCTTGAAGATGAAAAGATTGCATTGCTGGATCAGCTTGTTGTGATGGAAGGTCTTGTTGAACCACCAATCCAGTCGTAGTTATATGTTGCTATGTAATGCTAAGAAAGAAGTTGTCTAGCTCTATAATTTCGTTGGATAAAGACCCATTGCAAAGTTTATGTGTTTATGTCGTCAAAATATTATCGTCCACTGTTGTCTAAATTGCAGTAGAATACTTCAGGAATTGTCTTTAATAGTAGTAAATTGTTCATATATTTTAACTCACTTTTATATATACTTAAATGAAATATGATATACTTTTAAATTCTGTCACTGAAAAATGACTGCCTCATCAAAAGTAAGGGTGATTTAAGTATTTAACATTTATAGAATTTTACTATTCGTGCACCCAAGTGAGTTAATGTGATGTATGACAAAAATGTGTTAACTTGACTTTAAAATAATAGTTTCATTTTAAATAAGTTATAACCATTTAGTTATTCGCTATTTTTTATATTTGGCAATAAAATATAAAAACAATGATCATGCTTTCTTAACATTTTTCAGTGGGATAAATTGGTGGAATTAAAGAAGACCACCAAACTTATGCACGGCAAGTGCTGATTATTTATGTAGTAATAAAATCTGAGAGTATGATCAGGGCATTAAGATATCATTTATTCAATTCTGTGTTTGTTATTGCCGGCTGCTTCGGGCATTTAACTACAGAAAGGTTTAGAAGTGATCATTTTGATTGCATTTGCATTTGAATAAGACTGGCAATGACTATAAAGGTCCTAAGCTTATATGCATAATTATAAACACTGTCATCTAACCAACCCAAGACTTGCTGGTGCAACCCGAACAACTAAAGGACTTGTGACCTGTGATATTCTGTTTATCCATGACAAGAACCCAAATGCATAGCCTTTTGAGGGAGCAGACGCTTTAAAATTTACAGTGAAGTTGATTTTCTGCCCTACCCTTGTGAACACTAATCGATTTGGCACAACAGTAACATTAACTCCAGCAGGAGACAATACTACAGATCTGTATATACTTCTTGCTCTTCCAACATTAGTCACAACTCGGGTTACTGAAAAATTGTCTTCAAGATTGGGTACTGCGATAGATGGATAATTGAGGTCAGATGGTGTTTTGAATGCTCTGTCACATGTGCTGTTGTCTCCTGTGACAAGGCGGAGTGATCTCTCATCATAACCAAGTGAACATAGGAACGCAACGAAATCATTTGGATGTGAATCATAGACAAGACCTGGATCCAGGACTCTTGTAGGATTCACAAAGCCTGATCCATAATCAAATGCATTAGCCCTTCTTTTGTCAGGATCCGCTCTAATGGGTTGATGGTGCTTATCCAGAATTGTTGCTGCATATTGAACTTAAGATTAGTTTTGAGTAGTTATGCTCAGTATCTATATTTAGGCATTAAGTGACACAAAAGTTAATGCAATAAGAAGTTTCACTTCAATGTTTTGCATTTGGTAAAATATTGGGTAAAGCATGTTTAGAAATTCTTTGGACAAAATATGAAATGATATTTGAATGTGAAAGCTATAACTACTAGTTTTGTAAAAGTGAAAAAAACACACGCCAGATGTGAAAACAAAATACTCATGTAATACCAGTTGTCATGATAGCAGATTTTATAGCAGCAGGAGACCATGAAGGATGCACAGCTTTGACCAAGGTAGCAATTCCAGTTACATGAGGACAAGACATGGAAGTTCCTGATAAAATATTGAACTTCAATCCAGCTGCGGCTGGAGACCATGCTGCAAGGATGTTTAATCCAGGAGCTGTAACATCCGGCTAGAATACAGCAATAAATCATTCAGGATTAAGTTAAAATAAAAAGGCATTTATGAATCAAGTGTGACTAATATATCGGGCAACAGTAAAATAAATCAAAACATCTTTCATAAGTTAATCACGTATCCACTCTAGGTTTTTCTAAAAGATATCTGATTTAACATTTCCAAAACTTATAGTACTTAACATGATTTTGACTCAAGAAAAAGTTTGTTCATTTGACCTCTATGTGCTTGTGGAAAAATGCATGCAAATAAAACCAATATTACCTTCAAAATTTCTGGGGTTAATGCATTTGGGCCTTTAGAAGAAAATGCTGCTACACGGGGCGCGGGTTGAACTCCTAGTACTGTCTTGGTTCTGGAAATCCGTGACATTGGCATACTGTTCACCATAATATGATGCTGAGTTAGAGAATGGAAGAAAGAGCAGCAGAACATCACAAAATTGTCTATTCTGTTTCTATCAAATATTAAACAACAAACAAACAAGTTGTGTATTCTATTTCTATCAAATATAAAACAACAAACCGTGTGTTATTGATATAGGATAGAATCCGTTCTCCTGTTCTCGTTCCAACAATAGCTGAAGGTATCACAAATGGGACGGCAACACCTTGATTTGCTTCATCAATGAGTATCATCCCAACAGCACCTGCCTCTTTCACTATCCTACTCTTTTCCAACTTTGACTCCGATGAATACTCTGCATGTCGACAGACAAGAACTTTCCCTGTGGCCTTGGTCTTATTTAGGGAACTATCCACACAGTAACTGCAGGAATGTAGAAAAGAGGACAATATTTAACTTAAAACCTATCCTTTACATTGACATTTAGGCTTCTTCTCACTTTTGAGTACCTTGTTCTTCACCTGGATTGATAAGGAGTAAAGTATCCTGCAAAGGCTTGAGATGCATCAATCAATCTTGTAGAGGCATTCATTCCTAAGAGACTGAGACTCTCACCCTGTTTCCACAATAGAGAACTAAGTAGAGTCCCCCAAGTGTACAAAAAATACACCAACAGTTCAACACAAAGTGAGAAAGCTTTACCGTGATGTTAACACTATTTCCTAGTGTGATAACAGAGGTGAAATCCCTATCTGTTGAGCTAGCAGCAACTGTGATGATCCATGGTGCTAGGTTCGTTGCAGAACCAGGATTTCCTTCATTCCCAGCTGACGCTACCACCAGCACTCCATGTCTAGTAGCATGGAATGATCCCACAGATATGGCATCACTAAAATAGTCACCTTGGGGGGATTCAGGACCCAGAGACAAAGATATAATATGAACACCATCTCTTATGGCATCATCAAAGGCTGCTAACAAGTCCACATCATAGCAACCTGAGTCCCAACACACTTTGTACACTGCAATCCTAGCCCTAGGGGCACCTCCCCTTGCTCCTCCACCTGCTAGCCCCTTGTAATTCATGTTTTCCACATATCGTCCTGCTGCTGTGGAAGCTGTGTGGCTGCCATGACCTGAGCTATCTCTGGCAGATCTGAAAGAGAATTTTCTGTCTGGCCCTTCTTCTGCTTCATGTCCACTCATGTAGTATCTTGCTCCTATCACTTTCCTATACCATAAGTGATTAACCAATGAAGATGACATAGGTGGGAGCTAATGCCTATGAAGTCAAACGTAAAAAACATGAGGGTATGATTCAACCAGAAACCTGTTGCATGATGAAGCATTGAATGCTTCTCCTGATTGACAATGACCCTTCCATCCCCGGGGCACTGGGGTCATGTCGGTGTCTCCAAAGCTTGGGGATTCCGGCCAAATTCCTGTTGAATTGTGGCTAATGATTATGAATAAAATCCACAATGATTCTTTCTCACTATTAACAAAAACAAATTCCATAGAGTTATTGAGTATTTAAACTAAACCATTTTCAGTGCAAAATTTTCATTTTTAAGCAGATGTAGTTTGTATCAGCATTGAAACAGGAAATGAATAAAGCATATTCAGGATCAATTTTAACTCTTTAGAGATGGTTTATTTAATTAAAGAAGTTTTCATAAGCAAGAATGTGACTACCACAATGATGTCATGTGAAATTCAGTATTTTCAATCATACTTTCCTGTAGCTGCTATTCCTAAAAGCAGAGGGATAAAGCTACAAAGTTTCTGCCACTAGAGAAATAAAATAAAATTTGCAAATCCTTATGAATCGGCTAATAAATGTTTTCACGAAACTTTGAAGAAAAGGTGCATGTTGTACGAATGGGTGAGGAGATTGCTACGAAAAGTTATCGTAAAGGCTTCAGCTTCCTGTAAGAGTATGATTGCTCACCCGTATCGATGAAACCAATGATGATATTTTCTTGGTTTTTTGTGGAGTAGCCATGAATTTCCATTGATTCGTTGTACAAAAGTCCCATGAAGTCCCATGAATGAGTGGTGTGTAGCTTTCTTTTTGAATTGGGAAAAACAGACACCACTCCTGACATCTCTGATTAAATTTGAACGTGAAAATAAAAATTACAATATCTTCTAAATATTATAGTTTAAGGAGTGAATGAACATTGTATTTGCTTATCTGCAAAGAAAAAGAGAAAAGAAATGGGGGGAATTTCACTAACTTGAAATTTGGTAAGCCTGTTCATCAGTCAACTTGGCTGCAAAACCTCTGAAACCATGTCTATAGCTATAAACATGGGAAGCTTTGGCTCGTTCGATACTGTTAAAAATATTCCAACAAGGAAAAAGGAAAAAACCCATATAAGAAACGTGGAAAAGTGATGAATTTTCCTAAAGAAAGAAGGCATTAATTCTGAGCTCTGACCTTCCACTGTGAACAGCTGCAAGCATTTGCTGATTCTGCTTCAGAATATCATCTGAGTTTTCTCCAGTTTTGCTTCCCATGTACACCACATAAACCTGACAGTGCCAGCCAATCTAGATTCCATTATTTGCTCTTATCTCACTCTAAACCAAAATATTTGAAATAAGCCATACCTTGGCCGAGAAGCAAAAGCTAGATTTTGCAACAAACACAGCAAGAAACAGATAAAAAAAGGTACTACTGCTTCTAGTATAACTGGAAAAAGACATTGTTGAGTCCCAACCTTCGGCTAAAAGAACTATATTATTACGCAAAAGATGAAATGAAAACTATAAAAGGGACACAGAAAAAATGGCTAACTAATTCAGAGTGATTGAGATTAAAAATATGTATATATCAGAAAAGAAAACCCAGATGGAGTTATGGGAGAGGTAGCAATAGAATCATTGGTGTTTGTTACGTAATGTAGGTGTGTGTCATGTCATGTAAATTCAATGAGACTATTTATACATAACAGCAAATTGAAACGAGGAAGGAAATGACAACGTGGAGTAGTAGTGGCAAAGGTTGAGATGATGATGACAGATAGAGAAAAAGGGACACTGTTGCTTTTGGTACATGCCAAAGCAACTGCAAATCTTCCATATTTCTGTGAGACCGTTAAAAGCAATGTAATATCACACTCAACCTTAAATTTATGGATCTATTCACCCTTTACAAAAGTATATATATTATAAAAACAAAAAACCTTAGTTAATGAATGAAGGTGGTAATGTGTCTTGGTCTGATTGGCTCAACATCAAGCATGTTGTAACCACCATTATGTTTTCTTTTCACAATTCATCCATGATTTTCAGCAGAAAAAGGAGATAATATCCAATATATGGTTGGCTACTCTTAATTTGTGGGTTGCTGTGACTTCAATCAATAAGTTTGGCTATCTCAACACCCCAAAGGTTAGTGTATGTTTAATCAAGAGACTTGTATCTGAATTGTTGACTATTCCATGAGAAGAACAAATACACTGTTTAATCAGTGAAGTTGGAAGAGATAAATACACCAACTTTAATAGTGTACCCTTTGAAAAAATAAAATCTGTTACAACATGCATATAGAGTAATATTTGGCGGTGACTTTGAAAAAGAAATGACTAACTTCCATCAATATTGTGAAAGTGATATTTTGTAACCGCTAAATATTTAAAAAAGTTTATTATTTTTTAATGCAAAAAGAAAGGTTACATTTTCTTAAAAAAAGAAAAAAAATTAAAGTAGTCACATATATCTTTTGTGTAAGATGTCTAATGAATAATGAACATGTTGAAAACTTGAAACTAAATATTTAAGGGTTCACATGATATTAAAAATAGATAAATATCTACCCAATCTTATATTACAATTTTTATCCATTTTATATTCTTATACACAATTTTGATGTTTTTATTTGGTTGTTTGTGATTTAATTTTTATATTTTAAAAAATTCACAATTTTGGCTTAGTTAGTAATTTTAGAATTAAATATGATTTATCCTGTTTTTTTATTATAAATTTTGATTTAAAATCTATATTTTAGAAGTTGGTTTATTAATCTTCAAACGTAAAAATAAAAAAACGTAAACTTAGTTTTTTTATTAAATCTGTAACATAAAAAATATTATTAAATGTTAAATTTATATATAAAGAGGAACTATAAAATCACATATTTTTTGAGTTTCGCCACTCTGTCGTCCTTATGATGGTAAAAAGTTATCAGTAAATTACCTATTTAATCAAAATAGTGAATTATTGAATATGAAAACTAAAACTTAGTAAGAAAAATAAAGAAAATGTATTTTTTTTAGTTGATATACTTTTGGGCTTCATTTAGAAGCCCAATTTACATTGTGAATAGTTCATATTATTTGTTTAAAAAATATAAATTAAGAATGAATATAACCAGTTTTACATTTAAACACATCATTAATTACCATCATTCCGAATTTTAATTTTTATATCAGAAAACAAAACAATTGCATTCATTAGGGGAAAATTAGCACTGGGTGTCACGGAACCATAAATTACATCGTTGTATAAATGCATACAGTAACTTAAGCGACACCTTCATCTAAACTAATTTTCTTATAACTTCTCTCGAATAAAATGGGATCAAATGACTCATAAATAGGTTCATTTTTTCAAACACAGTACGAGTTGGTGATTGAAAAAGAAAAGCATTGCGTGTTCGTGTTCTACGTCTTCCCAACGCAAGAAACTCTTAGAAGCGATTCCATCTAAACCCATCATTAATAATATTAGGGTTTGCGAATAATTTAAGGTTCACGTCTGCTATAGTTTGTGTATTAGCATGTTAATAAAAAGTTACATAGTGATATAAAATCGGATCTTCTTCAAAGCAGAGAGGTCGTAATCTTCTTATATAATTTATGAATTTGACTCTCTTAAATTTAAATGAACATTTAATATATTTATTTATATATTTATAATTTTATCTTTCCAGCTTCTTCCTCAATTTTGTAACTCTTATCTAATGATTTTATCCTCTCAAACTTAATAATTATTTAATATATTTAAGTATATATTTATAATTTTATCTTTTCACCTTTCTACTTTATTTTATATTTATTTATTATTTATTAATAATATATTATTTGATCCTCTAAACATAAATAATAATCGGATGACATACACATGATTGCTTCCTTTTTAGTGACCCCCAACCCACTGAGTTTCTTAGTCTCCAAAATTGATTTCAACGAATAAACTACAATTAAATCAGCATCTAATCCTTCAACATAATCCTTCAATAAATAAAAAACAGTTTTGTTTGGAAATTTTTATATTTATTATCTGATGAAGGAATATTCTTTCTAACTAGCTTTTTTGGTGTGTGTAAATATAGCAAACAGATTAAAAAGTGATTGCGTACAAATTTGATTCTGTGATGGTGTCTGTGTGAATAATATAATAGAAAGTTACTTTCTTTTGTTGCCAACAAAGCTCCATTATTTAGTCCATTATGTTTCATGTCTTCTGTTGTAAGTTTGTCGTCAAAACCTTAAACCATGAGAATTGTTTGACTTAATATTTTCTATTGCTGCCAGTTATATATGCCTCCAATTTCATATTTGTGTTTTTTAATTTTTTTTCTTAAAATAGTGTGAAGTAAATATATTAACGTCAAAATTATGTTGGTAATCATATATATTAATATGATTTTTTATGATTATATATATACAACTAAATTCACTTATTCTAGAAAAAAATATCATAAACTTATTCTTGGTCTTTAATTTTTTAAATATAATAATAATAAATAATTATCTAAACTATTAAATTAAAATTAAATGAATAATATATATAATAGTACTTTTCATCCTAATATTAAATTAAATTATTGATTTTTTCTTTAATTTAATATTGCATTTTAATGTTAAATAAATATTACTCAATGTGATACATATTTGATTAATAAATAATTAACAATAAAAATATTGATAATTATAATTATAATTAAAATATAAAATTAATATCAATAATAGTAAGTATTAATTAGTTTATTTATAAATAATTTTATTATTTATTGTTAATTATTATAATTATTTTTTATTAATAATTGTAATTATATCTATTACTTATTAGAATTATATTTTTATGTTATAATTATCATTATTAATATTTTTACTGTTAATTATTTTTAAAATTATTTTAATATTAATAGTAATATTAATAATTAATATTAATTTATATATTTATTTCTAATAAATTTTAAAATAATAAAAAATATTAAAATATATATAAGACGAAAAAACGTTAAAAGTGAAAAAAGAAAATGAAAGTCATATTTTTAAACACGATGTTTACGTAATTTTAATTACTGGTATTTTTTAAAAATTATACCTGTTAGATACTTTTGTCACACGAATGAGATATAAATTTAATCTATAATTTATGTTAGTAATAAAAAAGTGTTAACGAATTATTTCTGAAGTACATTTTTTTTCTATTTTATCTTTGGAAAAAGATAAATTCACAATCCAATATCAACAATCATCCGTTAGTGTGTTGGACAAATCTTATGACGAATAATCATAAAAGAAAATAAAAATGAAAAGGTTGTTACAATTTTTCAATTTTGAAACCTTCAAAGAAAGTAAAGAAAAATACATGTTTTGAATAAGGTAACTTTGTAAACTAAACGAAATAATAAAAGAAAAAACAAAGTAGCATTATATAAGATAGGTTTTGGGAAAAAGTCACGTAAGAGGCATTGGAAATTGAAGCAGAAAAAAATGAGGAGAAAGGGTGTGGGAATAATGAGCGGAGTGATGAGTTGGATGGTGGTGTCAGAGAGTGGCCATGCACGCGTGGAAGATGTTGGGAAACACTCCATAATGCGACGTACTGGGTTGCCCACACGTGACCTTAGGGTTCTCGATCCACTTCTCTCTTATCCCTCTTCGATTTTAGGTCGTGAAAGAGCCATTGTTGTTAACTTGGAACACGTCAAAGCCATCATCACTGCCTCCGAGATCCTCATCATCAACTCCTCCAACCCTTCCTTTATCGCCTTCCTTCAAGATCTTCACACCCGTATTATTCATCAAACAACCTCCACGGTATGTGACTAACATCATCATATTAGGGTTTCACAGAGTTCCTCATCATGTATGTCATGCCATGCTAATCTATGTTTGCGGTTGCACAGATCAGTAATGACATGGATGGTGGTTGCCAAGTAGAACCTCTAGCTAAAGATTCCTTATCTGACAATTCAGCTGATCCATTTTATGTAAAACCGGATAGCCCTAAGATCACTCCAGAGAATATTGTGAAAGGAGCACCAGATCCTACGCAATTACCTTTTGAATTTAGAGTACTTGAGGCGTGTATTGAATCTGCTTGCAGGTGCCTTGAATCTGAGGTCTGTATTTGTTCATTTATTTATATATAGAATCACGTTTACTCTATATATCAGATCAGGTTGTTGGTTGAATATTCCAATAGGTAAACTATTTGAAGGATACATTCTATACATATATCCCTATAATCTCTATGATTTGTGTCTCTGTAAGACTTTAACATTGGAGTTAGAGGCTTACCCAGCTTTAGATGAATTGACCTCTCAAGTTAACGCACTCAAACTTGAACGTGTAAGACAGATCAAGAGTCGTTTGGTTGCACTTTCCGGTCGTGTTCAGAAGGTATATAATATTCACACTAACACCTTACTTGTTGCCATGCATGAACATCTGTAAACTCGTATACATAAGAATTAAAAAAAATGAACACACTCTATGATCATCTTTTATTGTTCTCATCCGAGAGTTTTCGTCTTGAAATATGAAAACTTGGAAGTTATTATACATTATAGGACATAAAATTTATTAAAATAATGGTTTTTTTTTTGTATCAATTTACCATTGGCATTATGTACATCAAATATTTTAATTGAGACGATATATGGTATTACTCCATCATAAACAGAGACTAAATTATCTAACCTGTGTGTCAAGAAATAAAGTCTTCTCTCTATTTCCTAACAAGTGGTCTTTATTTTCTAATAACTTGTGCACCCTGTTGTATTCTGGTTTCATTTCCCTGTTTTGTTCTTAATTCAATTGATCCACACAAATGCTCCACTACGCAAATTGAGAGTAGACTGGTATGTGAAAGTTTAATTTAGAAGAAGCAAAGATTAAATTTATCAGTTTTTTTAGTTCAGGTTTACTTCATGAGCATATTTTTTCACCAAGATGGGGTATATGCGGGCAGATATTTTGATTAATTGTTAAATCAAGGTATGCTGTTCTGGCAGAAACAAAATAAAATTAACAAGGACTAATTCTAGTCACGGTTTTACAGGTAGCAGATGAACTGGAAAATTTGTTGGACGATGATAATGACATGGCTGACATGTACTTGACACAAAAGCTCAATGATCGTTTATTTGATCAGACATCATTAAAAGAAGGGTACAATTCCGAAGTTGAAGACATTGATAAAAGGTGAAATCCATAAATCTTTGTCCGTTTATTAACAGCTTTATTTTGACCAATAAGACATTGAAGTTGAACTTAGTAATTACAATTACACCAGTCGTGCTCACAATGATAGCTTTGTGTCTTTAGTGGTGAATCAAATTCAGAAAAGTACGAGAAATTCACAAGCGCAAAACTTGATGTTGAGGAATTGGAGATGCTTCTAGAAGCATATTTTGCGCAAACAAATGGAATCTTGCAAAGATTGTCTACTGTAAGTATCTGAGCTCTTTTATCAAAAAACAGTGATGGCATTTAAAAACTAAAATTTCTTGCGTGAAATACTGAGTGATGAATGTGATGGATTTGATTAAGCTGAGTGAGTACGTGGATAACACAGAGGACTACATCAACATAATGCTGGATGACAAGCAAAATGAGCTTCTGCAGGCAACAATAATATTCAACACCCTAAACATGATAGCTAATGCAGGTATTGTGGTGGTGGGATTGTTTGGCATGAATATTAACATTGATCTCTTTGAGGGTCACCCTCGTCAATTTTGGATTACAACTTGGGGTACATTTGGAGGATGTATTTTTCTATTCCTTGTTTGCTTATGGTGGTGGAAGAAAAGATATTTTCTCTCTCAATAATACCTATAGTTTCTTGTAATCACTTCACTCATTCATCAATAAAACGTAAGCTAGCGACAAAAAGTAAACAAAAGCATCGGTATAACAGCACAGCATAGAGAGGAAGGGATAACCACCAGGTAATCTCAAAACCATTGCTTGTCCTGTTTCAAATAGAAAGTTAGAAAAATCTTTACTGGTGGTCCTGTCTTTCTCTTCACGTTCACCAACAATCCGAATCAAACTGTATTTTGAATCGCCTCTCCGAACCACTACTTCGAACAACCGTTCCAAACCATTGCTCGAAACAGTCATTCCGGCCTTCTTCACAGCCACCACCCTTATTCCAGCTGAAGAACCTACTCTTCTTTCCCTCACCCATTTTAGGGGAAAACCCACTGGACACAGCTTTGTAGCAATTTAAAGAGATAAAACCACAAAAATAATGGTTAGTGGTAGGTCGGTGGTGGTTCCGTGAACCTCCGAGGAAACAGCGTGCCAACCGAAACCCTTCCCCTTTGTCTACCCTCTTTCCAGCTTTAATTTGATTATTTTAATGGTTCTAACTTCATTTTTTATTTTATTTGAATGGTGTTTTCTTTGCTTGGCTCATGGTACTCTGGGTCAATTTACTCAGTTCTCTCCTGTAACTTCTAACATTTTTTTGTATTTTTCTAAAAAATCATAAAATATAGTAATGACTTCCATATTTCAGTTTTCGCTATCAATTTATATAAATATAAATAAGATTTTTTTCTTGTAATTAAAATTTATCAAAATGGTTATCTATTCTAAATATAAATATAGTTGCATTTTTTAATTTAGTCATCATAAAATTAAATTTATTAATAATCAATCTCAATTGTATTTTTATTTTATTATTATCAAATATTTATTTTGAAATTTCAATTTTTACTATAAAAATAATAAATAGAATAAAATTTAAAAGATATGAATTTTAATAATAATTATTTAGAACACTTTCAATGTAATTATTATTTAAATTATAAAAATATAAATTTATTTTAGATATATTATTATAATTTGGTTATATAAAAATAATTAAAATTACTGTATTTTTTATTTTATTATCTAAAAATTATTTTTGTTATATCATTAAAAATAAATATTTTATGCTTTATTATATTTTTACTTTGTATAACAAAAAATTAAATTAATATTAAAGATAAATTAAATTTATTATTTTAAAAAACAATTATAAAAAAAGTTGTGATTCTGATTATATATTATTATATCTGAGACTATGAAAGAGTAGAAATATAATTTTTATTCAAAATATATATTTTTTTTAAATGTATTAATAACGATTTTATTATTTTTTATTTAAATTTCTATTTTTATAAACCGATTGTGACAATAAAATATAATTTAACCTTCTTTTTAGCATAATTTTTGTCCGCCTTGAATTAGTCTTATCAATACTTCATTTTTATATATATTTTAATCATTTTTATTATTATTTCATTATAAAATAATTAAAATAATATTAATAACAACTACCAATGAGAATTATAATATAAAAATACAATAATAATAAGTATTAATAATTTTTTATTTATGATTAATTTTATTATAGATATCATTTTTATTTTGTTTATTAATATCGTTATCAATTTTATTATTTATTATTTAAATTATTGTTTATTAATAATATACAATAATGATAATAATAATAATAAATACTTTTTTAAATTAACTAATTATTATAATTTATCTTAATTATGACATAATAAAATATTAAGTAAAAAGTACATTTAACTCATAAATATTTAATTTTTTTAATTAAATGAGTAATTATTTATTATAATAAAATAATTTTAAATTATTTATTTATATCATTATAAATAAAATTATTTATTGTGATAATAAATAAAATTATTCATTTCATATCATAATTTTAAATAATTAGTTTATATATTTTTAGTTTTAATGTTGATTTTAAAATATTTATTTTAATATATTTTTATTAAATTTTAATATAATAATTTAATCAAAAGAATAATTGAGAGATGAGAGAAAGAAAAACAAGAAACTTTAGTTAAGAAAGAAAATAAAAATAAAGAGAAAATTAAAAAAACAGAAAAAGAATATTAATAATAAATAAATCTACGTAAATAAGTTGATAAAAATTTATTTAAATGATTTTTTTAAAATATATTATTTATAAAATTAATTTAATGAACATAATCTTGGGAATTTGCATCAGAAATACTGTTCTGATTTTGAATTCAAAAGGTGTCAATTGCTTCTCAGCATGTTATTTTCTAATCAATTACCCAAACATAAAAAGAAAAATCATTGTTAATTTCAAATTTTCTAAAATCTAAAAAATAATTTTTTTATACAAAATTACCCTTAGTTTGGAGAAAATTTGTGGTGATTTTTTTGTTAAAACTCAAATTTTAAAATAAAATGAATTTAGTTAAAATATAAGTAAAATTATTTATAACTCAATTTTAAAATAGTTTGATAATGATTTTCAAATCAATAAAAGAAAAGTGAAAATTTGTTTTCTATTTTAAAAAAACTTATGTTATATTTAATAATAATAATAATAATAATAATAATAATAATAATAATAATAATAGTTATGGTTATTATTATTATTATCATTATTATTCATATTTTCAACACCAAAACCATTTACACTTAAAATCAACAATATATTTACTTTTTATTATAGTTTTTAAACTGATTTTAATAGAATAGAGAACATTTGGATTAAATTCATTTTGAAACTAAAAATTAAAGAAGAAAAACCAAAACTAATTTTTAAAAACTAAACACCAATGATAATTAACCTTGCAACTAAAACTCATCTTTAAGATAACTTCTTCATCACATGATATAAGTATTTAATCGTCATTATAGTTATTTATATTGTTCCAAATACAGTATAAGGATTAGTTGATTCAAGTATATATATATATATATATATATATATATATATATATATATATATATATATATATATATATTGAACAATACAAAGAAAAGATATTTTGAGACTTGTAAAATTCTACTTGTAATATTGGTGTATTTGGTCGAATATCTTGGTCAGCCAAAGTTTTTAACTACATATAGAGCATTCTTGTGTTTTGATTGAGACTTTGAACACGTACGCTCTTGCCAATGAAAAAAACGAAGAAGTGAGAATGGCATAAAATGGAGAAAGAACAAAAGGAGAAGGAAATAAACACATGCTTTTATGAAAACACACACACCTTTCTTATTCATAGATGGAACAACTTCCAGTGGCATACATATGATAATGAAAGCAAGAAAGCACGTAGAGAAGCGAGAACATAGATATATACAAATATGTGAAGATCAATCTGCAACTGCATGGTGGTGAAGGGATATAACATTGATGAATGAAGGTATATATATATTCATGATTTTTTGGTGGTGGTTTTGGAGACAATCTGTTGGATAGTGGGTGGTTTTGGAGGGTGGGAGCTTGAATCTATTGGTTGTGGTGGTTTGGAGGGAGCAGGACAAAGGGCACTCTGGATGGTAACCTTTTTGGGAGTTTCCATGGACACTTACTGCACTTGTTTCTTTAGCTAAAACTATGTTTTCAGAATCTCAGGCATGAATAAACCACAATTTATAGACATGTAAGAAGCCAAAGAAGCCAAAGCCATGTGTGTTTGTCTACTTTATCTTCTAATATTCTCATGCATGCACTTAGCTTATCACTACGTACGTGTTTTATTTTATTCTAATTTAATATGTTCACTAAATTATAACTAATAATTTGGTAAATTTCATACCTATATTACTCCTTTTAAAGTTAATTTTCATCTCCTCCCTATCTTTGTATTTATCATTTAAAGTATATAGAAATCTTAATTTAATTCTAAAATTTAATTAAGATAAAACTTTAGAAAATAATTTTAATTTTTTTATATATTTTTTTCAAATAAACTATTATATGATTTGGTTTATATGTATTATGATAAAATATAATTTAGTTATATATAGACTATATTATAATAATGCAATACTATTTATTTTAAAAATAAAGATGAATATGAAAATAATAATTCCATTAATACCATAAATATTTGCTCTAGTTTTTAACTATTGTAATTTATCTATGAACTCGAAGTTCGATAAATTCATAATTAGCATATGCAATTTAGTTATATATGTATTTTCCAGCTTGTACAATATTATTAGTCAATAATTAAATAAATAAATAATAATAATTGGTAATAATATTCTAATTTTTATTCAAAAAAGATAAAAAATAAAACGTTTACTCTTGTTTCTTTTTAGAATGAGTAATCCATTTATGTTATTATATTTTATGAGTTTAAATTTGTATTTTTTTTTATGTTTAAAATATTTTTTAAAATTTTTGTAGTCTTTTTTATTATTATATTAATTCTATTAACTTAGAACTGTTATCATATAATAAAAAAATTAGAATCAAAATAAAAATATTTCACAAACTATGAAAAAAAAATTCAACAATATTCCAAGTACCATTTATCAAAAGTAAAATTTTTCAGGAGCAAGTACAAAATATTTTTTAGGAAAAAAAACATTTCAAGAGCTAAAAATTTATTTAATTTAAAAAAAATCAATATATTAATACTATAAATGTTTTGGAATTTTCAAATAATTAAAATTTATCAGTAATATTGTTTTAAAAAATATATAATTCTGACAAATAACCGTTCACAAATTAATTGAATGATACTATTAAAAACTTGCATTTCAATTAATTTATTTTATTTCTTCTTAACACAACACTTCATCATCGTTTAATAATATGTTTTCTTTAAAATGCATTTTTTAAAATTTTATACAAAGTTTTAAAAGTATCCTTGCAATAATAGAGTTTTTTATAGTTAATTTTGTATTTTGAATTTTATGTTTAAGTAGATTTGTGCTACTCGTTTAAGGTTTATTATGTTTATTAATTTCGATAAATACACTACAAGAAAAATTCATTTTAGCGACCGAAAAAATCGGTCAGCTAATGTCAAAAAATCGGTCGCTAATTAGTTAGCGACCGAAAGTCGTCGTCGCAAAAAGCCAAGTCGCTAATATGTTAGCGATCGATTTTCATTTCGGTCGCAAAATAGTGACCGAAATTAATATATCAAATTGGTCGTTAAAGTGGTGACAAAGTAAAAAAATAGCGACCGATTTAAATCGGTCGCTAAATCAATAACAAAGTAAAAAAATAGCGACCGATTTAAATCGATCGCTAAATCAATAACAAAGTTTAAAAAATAGCGGCCGATTTAAATCGGTCGCTAAATCAATAACAAAGTTAAAAAAAATAGCGACCGATTTAAATCGGTCACTAAATTAATAACAAAGTTAATTATTTTTATTTATTTACATTTTTAATTATATCAAGTTCATTAGACAACTTTTTTTCTCCAATTGGATACAATTGTATTACATAATGAATGCTTAGTAGTTAGTAGTTAAGATGCATTCTCATCCATGAAATGTGGACCAATTTGTCATAAACTTAAGATTTGAGAAACATTTGCAAATTGAAACTACCAACTAACAGTGATGTGAAAAGATTTCTCATTGCCAAGTACTACTAAATGAAACTGTTACACTTAAACATTGCTATACACATAATTGCCTTTTTTTATATGGTAACTCTAGCACAACCTTAAGAGGGTGTCAATATTGTTTTCTGTGGACTTAAGACTATATTTCAATTGTAGAAAATGCATATATACCAAGAAAGGGTGAGACACAATAAAGGTGAACAAAAAAAAATAGTATCATAGTAATAATACATTTCCCTTCATAAAACCGAATTGTAACGACGCTTCTTTTGTGGTGTTGAATGTGCCTATGCTTTGATCCCATATGTCTTCAATTGAAAATTTTCAAAAGCCTCCGAAATTGTCCGCACCTATAGGATTGCACAAAGCAATATATTAGTGAATCCAACCTGAATGGGTAAAGGAAAGAAGTTTAAACATGCACGGGATAACTAACCAGTTCAGCCTTTTTGGAGTACACCTTAACTATCATATCTTGGTAAGATATAGGTAGCAAGTGGCTTACACGGTCATCGGGTATTGTAAATTTCTCATTGCTTTCATAATCCTGAATGCATTATTGAAACTAGGTAACTCAATACAGCTAGCATAATTTAATTCCAAACTAAGCACCAATAATCGGGCCAAACTAAACCACTTTAAATATTTCAATAATTTTGAACAATTGCAGCCCAGTATCCCAACATAAGTAATATAAAACAGTTTAAACTAAAACTTATTAGCAAGGAAACTGTCAAACTGCATAAGGTAAGAGGTTTAATAGTGCAAAAAAAAGATATAATCCACTAATACAATATAGACACAGGCAAAACCAATTAATATATAAGAAGATTAAAGAAATATCTTGATGAAAGATAGTTAGGTAGGTTTGGCGATGTACCTTGAAAAAGTGGATGCTGCCACAGAAACATGCACCATAAGAGATAAAAATAATGCATTAGGATAACATTATAGTAAGTTAAAACAAACTAAATGTCTATGTTCAGCAAGCATGATTATTCTTCATTGAATACCTTTCAAGAGGATTATGATTTCCACTAGTCAAATCAATTTTGACGTTAGAAACAACTACATCCTCCTCTTTCAGCAGTAACTCCACCACTCTTCCGCGGATACATATATAAAACAAAATGGAATTCCTCCTTGAAGAGAAAGAATCAAAATTATATGCAATTTGCAAATGAGAAGGTTTAATCGGATTGAAGACCCGAGAGCAAACAATATCTTGAGGGGTGACCTTCTTAAAATTGTCTAGCATACCCTTGGGTACTGGGTACTCATTACAAAACTGCAAAACAAAATTCTTCCTCGGGTTCAAGCAAGACTATATAATTATAATTATAATTTAATAAATACACACAAACATTTTAGGCCAATGTAATGTAAATTTAGAAACATCCACACAATAGTTAGCATTGAATTTGTGACAAATAACTTGAGAAGATACGATGACGTAATAGGTAATTGCAGCAGGTAATTGACAACAATCAAAGAAAACCAATAGGTTAAAAACATGCTTGGTACAAATTCCTCCTTCGAATGCGCAGGATGAACTCCCTGGCCTCCTTTAGTTCTTGACTTGTACTTGTCTCAATAGTTTTAACTATTGTGTCATCCAGTTGCATTTTTAAAGTAAATTACGTTTTATGATTCAAAAGAGCATTGTAAAAATGCTTTTAATTTTGTAAGAAGCCCCGATAACCTTCCAAGATCGAGAAGGATTATTTATATGAAATTTCGAAATAACTATTAGCATGAACAAGTGCATCGACCATCATAAGCTCCATTGCCTGGAAACATCAAGATGGGATTAGAAACTGTAAAAACCAAGAATGGTAAGTTCATGGGTATTAAGTAGACAGGTAAGGAAAAAAAAGGCAGGTATCTACATCTACCTAAAATTCAATAATCTTCTTAACAAAATGAACATACTTCATACCTTCACTTTTGGATGTGTATAAACTGTTCTATACAGATAAGCACGAGTGGCAAACATTTTGTGGATGGTAAGGTCTAGTAAATTATGCAGCCAACATGAAAACTACATATTCAGGAAAAAAAAACTAAACGGAAATAACAGTATAAGACCCAGAATCAAACCGGAACCCGATTCAACCAATAGAGGTAGTCAGTTTGACAATTCATACGAAAATAAACCAGACCCACACACAATTCATCCTTAACCAAGGAGAACAATCCACAGTAAAAAGGCATAAAAGAAATAGAACATAGCAGCAAAATGTGAACCGAAGGGCTTGACCCACGACCCCTCTGACTCACCTCTAGTGCGCGGCTGGTTCAATAGTGGAGGTTAGGTTGAGATTTAGGGATGGCCACGATGGTGGCCAGGGAGGCGGTGGTGATAACTGGGGTTTGGTGGAGGTTGGATTAGGGTAATGGCTGACTTGGGGGGAGCAGTGAGGGGGCTAGGGCTCGCCGGGAGTGAGGAGGAGATACTGGCCAAGGTTAAGAGGAATGGGTGAGTGAGGCGCGAGAGTTAGGGTTATTTGGGGATAAGTGGCGCGAGATACGAAAGTGAAAAATGTGGTAGTATATGATAGCGGTTAAATCTTAACCGCTATTATAATATCACTTCTAATAGCGGTCAAATCTTAACCGCTATTATATAGAACTTCTAATAGTGGTTAAATATTAACCGCTATTATATATTTTCAAATATGATCGATCATTTGAAAATGTAATCGATCATAATCAAAAAATGTGGATGTCGCTCGAGCGAGATCAGTGTCGCTCAAGCGAAAAACAACCCGAGAATGCCAATTTTGTGCAGGTGGCGTCGCTCGAGCGAGACCATGTCGCTCAAGCGAAATACAACCCGAGAATGCCAATTTTGTGCAGGTGGCGTCACTCGAGCGATGTTATTTTTGCTTGAGCGAATGTTGACCTGCTAACCGTCGATCAAAGTTAGCCGGATAATGTAACATGGGTGACCTCATGTTTGAATCGGATGTCGCTCGAGCGAGTATAGTGTCGCTCAAGCAAAATATAACCCGAGACTTCACAATCTTAAAATCTGGTTGCATATGATAGCGGTTCCACTGGAACCGCTATTAAAAGGGCACTTCTAATAGCGGTTAACGTGGAACCGCTTATTATATCTTCTCAATTATGATCGATCATTTCTAACTATAATCGATCATAATGAAAACTTACATTAACTATTTTTTTGAATATTATGTTTTTAAATTTGCTATTAGAGAAAACCTTTCAGAATTCAAAATGTTAAATACTTTTAAATATTAAAATTAACTTTATCAAAAATTAGGAAAAAAAATTAATCAAAAATAGTTCAAAAATGTATTATAATATTGTCAATTTTGAGTTTAATTATATTGTTCATTCTCAAAGTAGAAAAATATATTGTAATTATTTTAATTTAATAAAATATAATTTAAATTTTTAATACTAAAATTAAAAAATTAAATAATAATAAATTTAATTCTTTAAATTCAGATAGTTAGAAACTAAAATTATAGTTTCTCTGTTTTAAATAATTAAAATATATATTTAAAGATAAAAATCAAAACTAGTATTATCTTAAATTTATTAAAAGTGTAATTAAATCTCTATTTTCTTAATTTTATTTGTTTCAAACTTCTCAATTCTACATTTTTGTAAGTTCTATCATTATATTATCATCCTCATCTCCTCCCATGTTCTACTTTATCTTTATAATAGTCAATATTCTTAAATAATTTATATTTTTAATTATAATTTTTTTAGTATATATTTCAGAAATTAATCAATTCTAATCTATTATTTGAAAAACTAATCAATTCTAATCAACAATTTAAAAAACTAATCGATTATAATTAATTATTTGAAAAAATTATCAAATATGATCGATCATTTTGAAAATCTAATCGATCAGAATAAAAAAATCTGGTTGCATATGATAGCGGTTCCACTCGAACCGCTATTAAAGAGCACTTCTAATAGCGGTTAACCCTTAACCGCTATCTAAAATATACTTTAGATAGCGGTTAACGTGGAACCACTATTATATCTTCTCAATTATGATCGATCATTTCTAATTATAATCGATCATAATGAAAACTTACATTAACTATTTTTTTTGAATATTATGTTTTTAAATTTGCTATTAGAGAAAACCTTTCAGAATTCAAAATGTTAAATACTTTTAAATATTAAAATTAACTTTATCAAAAATTAGGAAAAAAAATTAATCAAAAATAGTTCAAAAATGTATTATAATATTGTCAATTTTGAGTTTAATTATATTGTTCATTCTCAAAGTAGAAAAATATATTGTAATTATTTTAATTTAATAAAATATAATTTAAATTTTTAATACTAAAATTAAAAGATTAAATAATAATAAATTTAATTCTTTAAATTCAGTAGTTAGAAACTAAAATTATAGTTTCTCTGTTTTAAATAATTAAAATAAATATTTAAAAATAAATATCAAAACTAGTATTATCTTAAATTTATTAAAAGTGTAATTAAATCTCTATTTTCTTAATTTTATTTGTTTCAAACTTCTCAATTCTACATTTTTGTAAGTTCTATCATTATATTATCATCCTCATCTCCTCCCATGTTCTACTTTATCTTTATAATAGTCAATATTCTTAAATAATTTATATTTTTAATTATAATTTTTTAGTATATATTTTAGAAATTAATCAATTCTAATCTATTATTTGAAAAACTAATCAATTCTAATCAATAATTTAGAAAACTAATCGATTATAATTAATTATTTAAAAAAATTATCAAATATGATCGATCATTTCGAAAATCTAATCGATCAGAATAAAAAAATCTGGTTGTATATGATAGCGGTTCCACTCGGAACCGCTATTATATGTTAAATTCGTTTGAGCGAATGTTGACCTGCGTAAACGTCGATCAAAGTTAGCCGGATAATGTAACCTGGGTGCCTCATGTTTAAATCGGATGTCGCTCGAGCAAGAATAGTGTCGCTCAAGCGAGATACAACCCGAGAATGCCAATTTTGTGCAGGTGGCGTCGCTCGAGCGATGTAATTTTCGCTTGAGCGATATTGCAAAAATCAGATATAATCATGGATTATTTTCTCATTAGCGACCGATTTTAATTCGGTCGCTATTTCAATTTGTAATTCGGTCGCTAAATCTGTCGCTAAATGATTTTTTTATTTATGAATGAAATAGCCACCGATTTAGCGACTGAAAATTTGCGACACACAAAAATTGGTCGTTATTTCAGTCGCTAAATAAAAAAGTGAAAACCAAATCATATTTTGGTCGCTAAATCGGTCGCTAATTGCGACCGAATTAATTTGGTCGCTAAATCGGTCGCTAATTGTGAGGGAATTAAAGTGGTCGCTAAATCGGTCTCTTAATACGACTAAAATTAAATCGGTCGCTAATTTCGGTGACTAAATGTGTTTTTTCTTGTAGTGATATGACGAATTGATTTTAGTTCTTGCTAGCAAAGTTTTGATTGTTTAAGTTTTCATTAACTTATTTTTTATATAATTAATTTCATTAATTTTGAATAACATATCTTATCCTGTTTAAATGTATCACGTCAACCATTATTTTCACACAAGATATGACATATTTAGATATACATCATATCATTGTAGGATAAAATCTTTATAAATTTTAAAAATTTATGGTAGTGAAGGTCAATATAAAGATATACACTAATGCTTTCTTTGAATTTAAGAGAGGATATGAGGGAATAAAAAAAATGATAGAAATCGGGTTGTTTGGATTAAAAAAATAATAGAAATGAGTGAAAAATTAAATTAAATTATTTATTATTAATAATTTTTTAATTATTTTATTATTAATAAGAAATAAATATATATTATTAATTTTTTCATATAATCGGTAAAAAAATTAACTTTTTTACATTTTTCTTCGCTCTTTTACGATGATGAATTTTTATTTCACTTTTATAATTTTTTATATTAAAATACGTAAAATTATTTCATTTATTTATTGTCGTTAGAAACAAATGCAATGTAACTAGAAATTGGTGTGTCATAGCAATTGAAGAAGTTATTAAAATTAATATATATATATATATATATATATATATATATATATATATATATATATATATATATATATATATATATTACACATAGAAACACAGAATAAACAATTTTTTGAATAGACCAAGATAGTAGGTTATAACATTAAACTTCAGGTAGCAAAACATCAGATTCAAATACCAAACACAAAATATTGTACCTGAAACTTTAGACATTGTGGATGCTAATAAAGTAACAGACAACTTTAAACAAAACAAAACACGAAATATATATTCGATTGTAATCTTACTTTTAGAGGGAGACTAAAAAATGATTTAATATTGGGGTTGATTAGGCTATCACGAATCCAAATTCTTCAGACATAGCAAAAGGGGAGCATAATCACCATCCAATAATGGAAGTGGTGTAGCAGCAATTCATAAACAAGTCATTATTTGAATGTTTTGGAATATATGCACTTATGGCTTTATTTTAATGAACATTGGTGTATATTTCAAAATGAGGCGATTTATTGAATGAAGTAATTACAAACAAAAAAAATCTAATTTATCTTTATTTTAATTTTGGATAAAGATTCTCTCTAAACTTTTG